AGAAAGCCCTGTCCTGGTTTCGGCCTGGCTGGGTCTCATCAGCAGAGTCAGGCTCCTTAAACAAAGCCTTGCAGGTCGCCAGACGCTGCTGGGAAGTGCACTCTGGGCAAAACCATGAACTTCGCTCGCGTAAACAAAAACTCTGCCGGACAACAATATTGGCCTGGTAAGCCAATAGGCCGATTAACTACACCATATATTTATTTGTGTTTGTGGAAACACACCAAGGGAGTTCGTATGCGGTGTGTATATATATGCAAATCTAAAGCTTCGCTGTCAATCCACTGCTGGATGAAGGCCCAACCCATGCACTTTTGGGTAGCTGACCAATACATCAGCACGCTGGTCAGTGCAGTTTGGGGAAGGGCCGTGGGTGTTCATGGCCAGTTCGGATACTCAGTCGCCACTGATGTTAGCCGTGGCGGGGGTATTGAACTCAGATCGCGGACTTCACGGCGCTGTGCTGCTTGAGCCACGGCGCCACCGCTCCAGGCCGCTTGTGATGCTCCTGTTGACACACGCACACACACACACTATAGAGAGTGATACGCATTTTATTTCCAGCATCAGCGTTGTGGGATGCAATTGCGCGAATGACGCTGTATAAAATTGAGTTGTTATTATTATGAACCCAAAATGATGATGGGCTGAGTGCATCCCAGACCCGTGATTTGAACCTTGCGCCCTAATCGTAGCATCGCTGTTCATAGGCCAAGGAGCAGCCCCGCAATGTCTCGCGCACGCCACTGCTGGGGCCGCGCGCGTCACGGCCACCGGAGGAGAGGGGGAGCACGGCCGAGGGTCCAGGGGTGGTGACGGATCGGCAGCAATAGGAGGGAACGCGCCCGAGAGCGCAGACGCCACGGAGGAGACGGAGCGGCGAAATCAGCTCCTGTGTAGGTGCTAAGACAATAAATGATCGGACAAAAACAATGCCACCTTCCAGTGTCCTGCACCTCCGATTATATAGCGCGGTTGGCTGAGAACGGTGCGAGAGAAGTCCAGCATACGTACATCTGTCCCTCACGTAGTAAAAATGTCAAACAAATGTTGTACACATCCTATCAGCCACATGGCGCTTTGGGAATGCGTAGCTTCAGCAACATTGGTTCAACGCAAGCAAAACTCCGGACCGGTGCTGAGATTCAGTGTCTGATCAGCAGCGTCACGCTGCGTGATTGTTTATGCCGCAGGATCCTGAGAGTTGGCGACAGCTTAGCGAGAGGCCTTCGTCCAGCGGTGGATTGATCATGGCTCATGACGATTTACTCAAATTGTGTACGCGATTTTGCTCACGCGGGGAACGTCAGGCATTGGACAGCGATGAGTAATGATTCATAATAATACAAAACTATTTGGTTTGGCCACGTGGCGACGATTTGGCCCCATGCCTCTGTCGTGAGGCCCTCCACGACTCGAATGAAATAACTTGCGGTGGGCGAGGCGCTCGCCCACCGCAAGTTAAAGAACAATTCTTGACAGCGTCAATTGTCGCCGTCAGACACACACAAAGATCCCCCGTGTAGCCTTGACAGACTGTAGGGGCAAGTGCTGTTAGCGAGCACCTATGAAGGCCGGCACGGCACACGAGGGGGTGGGTGGCCAGCGCCACGCCCGGCCGCCTTTGTCTCCCCAGTGGCGATGTTTACACACCGCACCGGGTACTCGTTTGAGGCTGAGTCGACCTAGGGGAGGCCCATGACCGGTTCAGATAATCGTCACCGGTGTTGGCCGTGAGCGGGAATCGAACTCCGGTCGCCGGGTTCGTAGCTCAGCGCGCTAACCGCTACACACACGGGCACACACACACGGGCACACACACACGGGCACACACACACACGGGCACACACACACGGGCACACACACACACGGGCACTCACACACGGGCACACACACACGGGCACACACACACACGGGCCCACACACACACGGGCACACACACACACGGGCACACACACACGAGAACACACACACGGGCACACACACGGGCACACACACGGGCACACACACACACGAGCACACACACAAACACACATATATACACCGCGCTACGTTTCGCTCGCGAATTGTGCACGAAACACCTACGCGCTCGGCAGTGAACAATCACGACGAAGCAACGGGAGACGGGCGGACGGACGCCGCGCTCTCATCCCACGCGTTGCCCATCTGTGCATGCGGGCCTCGTTCTCATCCCCGCTCGGGCAGAGACGGGAGGCGAGAGAGGGGGAGTAGAGGGAGGCGATAGAGGGGGAGTAGAGGGAGGCGATAGAGGGGGAGTAGAGGGAGGGGAGTGGAGGGAGCGAGGGACGGAGGAGTGGGGGGGGGAGAGACTGGATGGGAGTGGATGGCGAGGAGCCGAGCGGGACGCGCGGTCGGAGCGGGAGAGATGGAGACGGAGGCTGTAGGGAGGGGAAGCGATGATTAATCGCTCCCCTCGCGGCGGCTGTGATCGGCAAGGGCTGGCGGCAGGAGAGCAGCAGCAGCTGATGCTTACGCAGAGCGCAGGGTGACGATTGTGCAGCCCATGTAGCCGTCACGAGCGCGACCGCGCGTTCATGTGTGTGTGCTCACGTGTGTGTGTTCACGTGTGTGTGTTCACGTGTGTGTGCACGTGTGTGTCTGTGCACATGTGTGTGTGTGCATGTGCGTGTGTGTCCACGTGTGTGTGTGCACGTGTGTGTGTGCACGTGTGTGTCTGTGCACATGTGTGTGTGCATGTGCGTGTGTGTCCACGTGTGTGTGCACGTGTGTGTGTTTGTAGGGAGCGGTAGTATAGCGGTTAGCGCGCTGCGTTGTGAACATGGCCATTATGAGCCCACTGACACACACACTCCCTAGGACCAAGTCAGGATCTCAGCAGCGCTAATTCAGTGTCACTGACATGGTCATTATAAACCCACTGACACATACAGTCCCTAGGACTAAGCCAGGATCTCAACAGTGCTGGCTTAGTGTCACTGACATGGCCATTGTGAGCCCACCGACACAGTCCCAAGGATCAAAGCCAGTGGCGGCTTCTCTCTGACACAACATTCGGCCCCGTTGATCCACCCGCTCACCCCTGGCACCACTCACTCGAAGCTTCACCTTGAGACTTCCCCACCATCTCCGCCGACTCGCTTCGCTCCGAGCGTGCAAACCCAGACGGACAGACAGAGACGTCGCAACAAACGCGGCGCCGACAGCTGGGGTCCTCTCTCTGATGGACAGACTGACAAGGGGCCGAGGCCGCGGTCTGTGGGAAGGGGGCAAGTTGCTGAGTTGAGCGCTTTGAGTGACAGGGCCCCTCACAATGGCCAGGGGGCGTGAGGACACGCAAGGTAAACACGGCCGGACAGCGAGGCAAGTGACTCCAGTGAAGTGTCAGCGCGTAGCCCCCGCATCCTTCTTCATTAACGCTTTGTTCGCGCTTTCTGTGGCCTCCGCCCGTGACAAATGTGATGACACACAGCCCTCCAAGTTAAGACGCGCGCGCGTGCACACACACACATATACACGCATACACACACATACACACGCACACACGCATACATACACACGCATACACACACACGCATACACACACGCATACATACGCACGCACATATACACGCATTCACACACGCATACATACATACATACAAAGCTTCAAATCAGTACCTGGTGCGGTGTGTTAACATCAATGGAGAGACAAAGGCGGCCGGGCGTGGTGTTGGCCACCCACCCCCTCGTGTGCCGTGCCGACCTTCATAGGTGCTCGCTAACAGCACTTGCCCCAACAGTCTGGTAAAAGCTCTACGGGGTATCTTTGCTTTGAATTGTTGCCCGTGACACGTTCACGTGATTCCTGCAGCCATTAGTGGCCGCTACGTTCATAACATTAAACAAACGAACAATCAATCGATTGCTAAATCGAAATACCGGTCTGTGAAAGGAGTGGCCGAATCTTGCCACCGCCAATGCACAGTCCATAACACAGAGATCAAGGTACAACTTAACTGGAGCGGTGGTGCAGTGGTTAGCGCACCATAACACAGAGATCAAGGTACAACTTAACGGGAGCGGTGGTGCAGTGGTTAGCGCACCGAGCTCAATTCTCCACCTCACTCCCAACATCGGTGACGAATCTCTAAACGACCGGTCCTGGGCCTCCCCGAGGTCAACTCAGCCTTAAATGGGCAACTGGTGCTGTTTGTGCAAACGTCAGTGCTCTGCACAGCACATGCCCCGACAGCCCGTGCGAGCTACCTGGGGACCCGTGTCTTGCGCCGTTTCCCGCACAATTTCTACCACAGTGCAGAAACGCAACGCGAAGCAAATTATTCAATCGTGAGACTAATTTTTAACTTACAGATTTTATTTTTGTTTGAACAATGCTCTTTTAAAACGTTCCGTCTCCAACGTCCCATCATTTTGCTTAAATAGAATCACCGTATTGCTTACGACGCGTACAAAAATAACATTTTACATTTCCTCCGGATGCTGTCTCGTGTCCATATGAACGCACAGTTGCAGCATTAGAACACATTCGTGCGTGCAGGCGCACGCGTGTGTGCGTGTGTGTGTGTGCCGTTCCGGCCTTCGTAGGTGCTCGCTAACAGCACTTGCCCCAACAGTCTGTATGACTATTGCACCAGCCTGTGTTCATCTACGTGAATGTGTCTTTGTGTATCTTGTAAAAACAAAGTTTCGTAAACCTGTGAACGCAACGTTGTATTTCTTTGCAGTCGCAGATATTAGTCCCGTAGGCATTTTAAATCACTAAACCATTCGCAATGAAAATCACACACGACACCCAAAATAAACATGGAGTTGTCGCCGCGTGGAGAGGTCATGCAGGTAGACGAGATCGATCATTCCTCCTCCTCCTCCGCATCCACAACCTCCACATTGAAAAGCATGAAACATTATCTGGTGATGCTGTTGCGTTGGTTGCACAAGCACAACTAAAAACAACAACAGACTCAACACATTCGTCAACAACACCGTGGCCTTAAAATAAAACACATATACACAACAGGTGACGTTTCAAGCAATGGCCCTTTATGCTTGACACATGAGGAACCACTGGTTAGGATTGCCTGACGGATGGCCGATTGGCCTGACGGGATGTGTAAAATATTCTTCTTTTTTTATCATGGAACCTTTTTGCCAGTATCAAGGTACATAAAATAACCAAGAATAGGTTTCTCCCTTTCTGGCAATAAAACAGGAGGTATTAAGATGTCCAAACGCCAAATAGAAACTTTTGGAAGGAATCAAGTCTGCCACGTGGTGAACTTGCGAACAAACATTGCTCTGGTAACAATAAATGGGCATTGCCTTTGAAACGGATTGGCCTGCACCAGAGGTAGACTTCTTCATGGCCTCGTCCCAACACTGGCAGACGCTAAATTGTCAAACTAGTTTCGGCAAACATGATCATTACGTTAAACAGTATATAATCCCCGAATGGCCCTCCACCAACACCACCATCATCATCAACGTATGAAACAAGGAAGTCATACACTCTATTAAATGAACCAGTTATTTATTGTTATGATGTCAAGTGAGATCTGGTTCAAGTTCCATCCGTCAGCTTTGATGGTACACGTGATCAGAATTATAATAATAATAGTCACGATGAATCACACCACGCACGGACGATGCCCAACGCTATCGTGTAGATTTCTGCATCTCTGCGTATTTACTTTATTCCATTAAACATATATACACACACACGCGCGCGTCAATGTCGCAGCCTAAAAAAAAAACACGTACAAGTCCATAATATTAACATCGAGAAAAGGAAACCCCAACAAATTCACCAACAACACTGCCAATTTGAAGAAGGGCCGTTGCCCAAAACGTCGGCTATTGATAAAAAAAAATTGTGGCCACACCGTGCTGTTGATAATGAATGCGTTAAGTGTTGTTGTTGTTTGTGTGTTGTGCACCGCTGCCAACGCGTTAAGAGTCGGACTAGCATCTTGTGTACTGTTCAACTTTGTTTAACAGTACACAAGAAAGTTAACCTGGGTGTGTCTGCCCAGCGGCAAAAACTGAGCCACGTGCGGACAGACACACACACACAACAACCACGTGCGGACACACACAAACACAACAACCACGTGCGGACACACACACACACCACAACCACGTGCGGACACACACACACCAACCACGTGCGGACACACACACAAACAACAGCCACGTGCGGACACACATACAAACAACAACCACGTGCGGACACACACACAACAACCACGTGCGGACACATACACAAACACAACAAGCACGTGCGGACACACACACAACAACCACGTGCGGACACACACACACACAACAAGCACGTGCGGACACACTCAAACACACAACAATCACGTGCGGACATACACACACAACAACCACGTGCGGACACACACACACACAACCACGTGCGGAAACACAAACACACAGGAGCACCATGGGATTGGAGGACGCATTTCCACCCACCCCCCTCTGTATTTTAAAGCAAAGTTGCGATTCGGCGTTGGAAGTGGAGCACAATCACAATGACAGCAACCCCGACGCATTTGTCAACAATAACAACAACGATAACACTGTGGCCTTAGAATTAATATATAATTATATAATATACAATAGGCGACGTGTCGGGCAATGTACCTTCTTCATAGTAGTGAGATGAGAGAGAAATTATAATCACGTGGCTGTCTTTTTTTTGCACGAGTGACCACATTTTATAAAACTTTATTGGGGCTGGGGAAGCACAAATGTGGGCGTGCGTCTTCCTTTCTGAAGCGTCTTATAATCCGGAGAGAATGGGGAAATCGCTATTCACGATCATTTATAGACATTAGCAAACGACATCTATTCGTTGTGTTGGTCATTCATTAGTGCCTTAGGAGGAGGAAGGGGGGGGGGGAAATAATCGTTAAATACATTTGTCTGGGACGACCAGTCACTGGGAATGGGCATGTGTGTTGTAAAAATGGTTCAGATACGAACGTTGCATGCATGCATCATTTAAAGTGAGATCACTTATTTATCGTAATGCAAGTAGCACTTGTGAAAATATAATCGGTGAATGATTCAGCACGGTCGATGTCGAGAGGGACAGTGCAACGCCGCGTACAAGGCGTCTGTCGGAGTTGTTGGACATCGCGAGAGAAGGAATCTGTGACACCAGGAGGCGCGATTACTGCGCCGGATATGGGCCACGTGACGGTCGGATATGCGACGTTGCAATGCATTCGCGCAGGTGACTCGACATTTTTAAAATGTAAAATCAAATTCTGCATCGGCAGTGTTAAAACTTCGGACAAAGATAGGTTCCCGTCTGTGCGCTGACTAGCCCCTGGCCATGTGATCGTGGAATTTACACCACGACCAGCAACAGGCAAGGGCGTCAGGAATACTCCTTGGACAATATTCCACGCGTGCCTTGCCATCCTGTCCCCTGGCATAGGGACGTGGATGGGCGACAGCCAAGTACAGCAAACTCGTGGACAGTGCTGACAAGTACATTGTTCTGCACCCTCCCCAGCTTCGACCCACGCAGACCCTGCGTGGGGAAGGATGGTCATCATACCTGTCAACCCCTTATCAGTGCCCTACCATATTACAGACAAATTCAGACCTTATTGGTCACCCCGTGCCCCTTATAAATCTCAACGTTGATCCTACAAAGTCCCACCACAAGGGAGAAACACAAACAAATAGACACAACATGTGGTTGTTGCCCGTAGTGAAACGGCTGTACGCCGCATGAACCTGAACACTCAACTTGCCCGGACAAGAACACGGGGTAAACCGCATGGGTTGACAGCTGTGGGTCACATGACCCTCACAGGCCATACAAGTCGTGGCTGGGAGAGGTTCTCGCCCAGCAAAATGGCCTGCACATGGTACACAAATGTTAGACGTGTGTGCACCAGGGCCCAGTCCCCTCCCCATCAGCCTCCCATTTTTTTCCCAAGTGTCCAACCAACCTTTCTCACTTCAAGAAACCTATCAAACTTCGTATCTATCACAATTTTAACAGTGCTGTTTGTTGCTGGCAGATTGGCGTTATTTGGGATTTATTTGTGTGGACAGCCTCGAACGCACAACAAATAAACACGCAACGAAGACGTAAACGCGCGCCCAGATGTTGATCAACCAACGTGAAAACAAAGGGACACTTAAAAAAGCGCGCACACACGCACTTTTGTTTTCCACGGACAATCTTGTTGCTGGTGGACGTGGCGAGCCACACACAACAACACCGACGTCTGCGTCTGTCGAGTTGACGAACAGTTCAACCGTGGCGCGTGCGAGGGAGAAAGGGGACGGTTCCTCTGTTCACTTTGCGTCGCCGGGGATGCGCGGCGCCACGATGTGAGCGGGGATCTGCAAGCACAGCGCGCAGGCGCACGGGAGCCCGCCGCCCCACGGGTGGAACACGGAGCCGAAGGAGCAGGGCGGCGCTTTGAGCTGATGGTGATGATGCTGCTGCTGATGATGATGTTGTTGGTGATGCTGATGGTGATGGTTGAGCGGCCCGTGGCTGTGCCTCGCGGCCCCCGTAGGGCCCGGAGCCGCCGCTAAGCCCGCGGCCACCCCGGCTGCCAGCGAGGAGGTGAGCGCCGCGTGGTGGTGCAGGGGGTGATGGTTCCCGATAGGAGCGCACGCGTGGAAGGCCGAGTGGTGGTGGTGGTGGTGGCCGCCGCCGCCGGCACCACCACCACCTCCGCCACCGGCAGCACCGCCGCCGACCACGACGCCGCCGCTCCCGGCACCGCTGGCGGCGGCGGCGGCGGCCGCGGCGGCGGCGGCGGCGCCTCCGACAACGGCGGCGGCACCGCCGCCGCCACCGCCGCTACCGCCGCCACCGTAAATTTCGCTCAAAAGCCTCTTCATCTCGTCCAGGGAGCTGTTGAGCATGAGGATGTAGTTCCTGGCGAGGAGCAGCGTGGCGATCTTGGAGAGCTTCCTAACCGAGGGCCCGTGCGCGTACGGCATCACCTCCCTGAGGCCGTCCATGGCCACGTTCAGATCCTGCATCCTCTTGCGCTCGCGGCTGTTGATCTTCAGCCTCAGCTCCTGGCCGCACGGCTCGCCAAGCTGCTCCTGCTGCTGCTGCTGCAGATTGTCCAGGTCCTCCTTGGACAGCCTGGAGCGAGATCCACCCCCACTTCCGCCCAAGCTCTTCATCTTCATCATCGACGACGACGCCGATGTACTACCGCCGGTGGTCTTCGTGGTGGCGGTCGTGTTGGTGGTGTTGGTGGTGGAAGAGGAGGAGGAGGTTCCCCGAACCTGAGCATGGTGGTCTCCGTGGGTGGCTCGAGGTTTGCCCGGCACGCCGGCCGTGTAGGCGGTGGACACCGCGGCGCGGCTCGTGGTGGAGGAGACGGTGGACGAGAGGCCCTGGAGGTCGGACGAGGCGCTGATGAAGACGTCCAGCTCCGGCGAGGAGGATCTGCTCGACATTGAGCTGTTGTCCGAGTCCATCTGACGGATGGAGGCACGGAGGGGGAGATGTTAGCGCGACATACTTAGAGAGATGTTAGCGTGACATACTTAGAGAGATGTTAGCGCGACATACTGACAGAGATGTTAGCGCGACATACTGACAGAAATGTTAGCGCGACATACTGACAGAGATGTTAGAGCGACATACTGACAGAGATGTTAGCGCGACATACTGACAGAGATGTTAGTGCGACATATTTACAGAGATGCTAGTGTGACATAAGTATAGCCCTCTTTCAGACCACGGCTGCATGAAGGCCTCCACTTTCCTCTGCTGGATGAAGGCACCCCCCTATCCACCGCTGGATCAATGGATGACCCTACCTACGCCGTGTGCTCGCGGGGCGTAGTTTGGCCATGCTTCATCACAGCCGATCAGTGTGGGTTCGTGAAACAGGCGTGGGTGGGAGAAGACGCTCTGCCCGGTTCAGCTACCACTTTGCCACTGATGTGCGCCGTGACTGGGAGTCGAGCACATCGCTACCGGGTTGGTAGCGTGGCGCGCTAAGAGCTGCACCACCGCTCCCCCACTCAAAACGCGAACGTGTTGACACGTGCTCTTGCTAGGGGTACAATCCAGCAGTGGATTGATCATGGCTGATGCAATCACTGTGACTTACGAGCACTATAAAACACACTTTTTTGCGCTTACACGAACACATTTCATATTCGTTATTTCACGTCTGCATTATGTCATGAAATATACATTATATAATCATCAGCAGCCATTGTAAAGATTAGCAGAGATACAATGTTTTATTACGAAGACCGTGACTATATGTGTGTCTTACCAATGCACGCGTCATATATAAGCAGAGGTCATAACGTTCATAGCAATTAACACGCGCGTAATGCAGCGAATGAGCTCCACACCGGCATAGCGAATGTAATCCAGTGTGTGTGTGAATAAGTAGCCAGCTACCGAGATAATAATGTGTATAAGAACCATCCCGGAACGTTCGAACGTTGGGCCAACGTTCATTCAACACCAGGCAAACGTTAGACCAACGTTCGTTCAACGTTGGGTCAACGTTCGTCCAACGTTGGACCAATGTTCGTCCAACGGTAACCCATTGCTCAATGGTCACGAGAAATGTACTGTGTGAGTGTGTGCGCGCTCGCTCGCTAACAGCACTTGCCCCAACAGTTGGTAAAGGCTGTTCTTCACGCGGTTGTTCCACCTGATGAAGATTGCTTGTGTTGCGATCGAAACGTCGTGATTTGTTTTATTTTATTTCTACCTACGTGACTTTACCGAAAGAACCAAAGAGTATGTACGGGGGATCTTTGCGTGAAAGTGTGTGTGTGTGTGTGTCAGTGCATATCTATATATGTATGCTCTACGTATACTCACTTACAAACATTGCACGTGTGTGTGATGTACATATATATTCCCTTTGCTGCATGCGTATATGAACTCGCCGGTACAATTACACGGATTTGACTGTACATACGAATTCGATTGTATATTTAAACGGATGCTGCGTGAATATACAAACTCGCTTGTACATTTACACGAATGCTGCGTGAATATGCGAATGAGTGAGAGTACACGTGCTAGACAAATGTACGTGTGCAGAGAGACGATGCGTAAAAAAGTTAACGTGCAATGTGTTCACGCGTGTGAATGTTGCGTGTGTGGGTGCGCGTGTGGCTAAGGTGCATGTGTTCACGCGTGCGCATCTGTGTGCGTGTGGCTAACCAGTGAACGTGTTCACGCGTGTGGGCGCGCGCGGCTAGCCAGTGGACGTGTTCACGCGTGTGCATGTGTGGGTGTGCGTGTGGCTAGCCAGTGAACGTGTTCACGCGCGTGTGCATGTGTGTGTGTGTGTGGGTGTGCGTGTGGCTAGCCAGTGAACGTGTTCACGCGCGTGTGAATGTGTGTGTGTGTGGGTGTGCGTGTGGCTAGCCAGTGAATGTGTTCACGCGCGTGTGCATGTGTGTGCGCGCGTGTTCGTGTCGGTGTTCGGCAGCTTCAAGGGAGACCTTGGCGGGCTGGCGGGCTGGCGGGCTGGCGGGCTGGCGGGCTGGCGGGCTGGCTGGCTGGCTGGCTGGCGGGCTGGCGGGCTGGCTGGCTGGCTGGCTGGCTGGCTGGCTGGCTGGCTGGCTGGCTGGCTGGCGGGCTGGCGGGCTGGCGGGCTGGCGGGCTGGCGGGCTGGCGGGCTGGCTGGCTGGCGGGCTGGCGGGCTGGCGGGCTGGCTGGCGGGCTGGCGGGCTGGCGGGCTGGCGGAGTCTTCGGCTCGGGGCTCTGCGTGGCCGCTCGCTGCTGCTGCTCCTGCAGCGGCTCTCCCGCAGAAGTCGCTGCTCTGCCCAATGCCTCCGCAGTCTTTATCGGGGCTGCACAATGCAGCAGCAGCAGCGGCAGCAGCAACAACAACAAAAAACCCCACAATGGATTTTGTTTCTCTCGCCCCCCCCGCCCCCCCCCTTTGGGGTTCTTTGTGTTCTGGTCGGCTCAGTGGCGCCAATGGCTGGAGGAGAGAGAGAATAATGGGGGGGGGGGGGGGGGTTGCTCTTGCTTGCTCGTTTGCTTCGTGCGAACACTCCAAACAGACGGTGGGCCATTCCACGTTCATGCGGCAAGAGCTTGGCATCTCAACTAGTGTTCATCGCTTAGCGACCCCCATAAACAGGATGATTCAGGTTGTTCTGCATCGGACACTCGCTCCAACGAGCGGTGGACATTCCACGTTTCTGTGGCAGGAGCTCGGCGTCTGCATACAACTACGACTGATGGAGTTTGAATTTCCATTGAGTTGTGTTCTGCGATTAGCGATCGCATGAAGAGATTAATTCAGGTTCTGCTCCGTCGAAAACTTCAACGAGCGGTGGACATTCCACGTTCCTATGGCAGAAACTGGTTATATGCATGTGAAACTCGCTGTTGAATCTCTATCAAGCGGTGTTCTGTTGTTTAGTCCACCCCCTGCGAGATGATAGGTTCGGAAATGTGTTATCGAGCTTGGGGAGCCCTTCAGCCAGCAGTGGATTGATCATGGCTGCTGCGAGAAATAATATCTCAGATATCACTCGCCGTCGATGTTACCCGCAGCCTGGGATCGAACTCGGGTGACTCGCTGCGCTGTTCGTCGTGCAGTGCGCTAACCACTGTGCCACCGCTCCGCTTCCTAACTATGAATCAATTCTTGTTATTTTGAGAAGTGCTGAACGAGTCCGTGATCGTCACCTCGCGTGGAGTGGTGGCGCAACGGTTAGCGCACTGCGCTACCAAAACACCGGTGGCTCGAGTGATATTTAGATCGCACCTGGGCGCTACCCTTTCCCCTTGACGCCGACACGAGCATGGTGAAGTATGGTTACCGAACATCCGCGACAAGCACGCTATTGGGGAGACGCTGCATCCAGCGGTGGAATTATGATGCTAATTGGTATTTAGTTGGTACGGGCGCTGTTGTAATCATAATTTATTTCTGGGTCGATAAAACGCGTACCGTTCTGTGATACTTCAAGTGGGTTCATGGCCTACTGCACTCACAGCTATCTTCACCGCAATGTATATATATATATTTAATACAACACTCGAACAAAAAACTTAATTCGATTCTTTAATTCCAGGGTGATCCGGAATCGCGGACCAATCATCGTTTCGCTTTTCATATATATGTGAATGTATGTTTAACTTCTTTCGCACCGTACATAGCCAATCGCGCTCATCGGAAGTGCGGGGTGAGGATAACAAAACTAAACATAAAAAGCGGTTCGAAAGGAATGAGTTCAACAAAATACGTGCACATGTTTGCTTATTAAGTGCCGTGATTCATTATAAATGTAGCCCTAACGGACGATCAGTGAGTGAGTGTTGTTATCAGGCAGTGTGTGTGTGTGTGTGCGAGAAAATCCCTTAATGTTAAGTAACGTCTCTCTAAAGGACAGCCACTGTGGACTTTCCACACAATGGTGGATATTTTATCTACCCCGGAGAGATGATTGATGATGGGCTAAATCGACCCCCCGATTGGAAATTGAACTCTCGACCCTTCGCTTGTATGTGATTGGGTCATCGTCAACATCCTTATCATCATCACGAATATTATCCGAATCATTATTATCATGAACACCATCATCATCACCATCAAAGTAAAAAATCATCCGTTATCACGAGTAGTATTGTTATTACAATTATAACATCACCGTTAGAAATTAATTTTAGCCGGGTCTGTCCAGGTTGGCGACCCGGTACCGGATTATCCTCATAGCACAAGTAGCTACTACTACACGTGTAGTAGCTACTACACATGTAGTAGCTACTACACATGTAGTAGCTACGGGACCCGCACTTTCAAGGGCCCCGCCCTAAATGCTTTCAAACTTTCAATATCGGTTCAGTGATTCTGCACTTGCTCTATTACTATAGTACTGTGCCGTCTTCAACTTTTATGAACGACTGGGTGTTTAAGGTTAGTGATTTGTCGCATTATCTGGCTCTATAGCAAATGAAAAAATACAATTACTTTACTATGCAAGTAAAAATGTGTTTTAATATGTTTGTGTGTTTTTTTTTTATTTAGGGCCCCTTTATAACATCATACTACAGGCCCCGCACGAGCTTCATCGGGCACTGCCCGGCAACCCAACACTCATGGGAGCTCTCGCTACAGCTGTGGCTATAACTGGTCACGTGCCGTCAAACCGAAAAATTGTTCAGTGGAAATTAAGCCCATCGTAATATTATCATCATCATCACCGTCATGAATGTTGAGTGTGTGTGTGCTGCTGAGCGGTAGTGTAGAGGTTAGCGCGCTGCGCTACGAACCTTGGCGACCCGGGTTTGATTCTCGCTCACGGCCAACACCGATGACAATTATCTGAACCGGTCCTGGGCCTCCCCTAGGTCGCCTCAGTCTCAAATGAGTACCCGGTGCGGTGTGTAAACATCCCCACTGGGGATACAAAGGCGGCCGGGCGTGGTGCTGGCCACCCACCCTCTCGTGTGCCGTGCTGGCCTTCAGAGGTGCTGCTCGCTAACAGCACTTGCCCCAACAGTCTGCTAAGGCTATACGGGGGATCTTTGTCTTTGCCTTTTGTGTCTACGCGCGTATGTGCGGTTGTGTCCGTCTCCGTGTCTGTGTGTGCCAGGTGGCACAGTGCATCTGCCAGTCATCTCAGCCAGGCAACCCGTACCACCTGGGCCCATCCCGTAACCTCCTGCCAGCAGCGAGCCTCCCACACGTCATGCGATAGCCTCACGGTGCACCTAGCCTGGCACACGCGCCTCGAATGACGGTTGCTGTTGTCGCTGCTATTGTTATAATTGTATGTACGCGATGGTTCCCGTATAAAAGAAAGACAGAAAGAAAGAACGGGCTCCCGCCATAGGAACGTGCAATATTCTTCCCCCACCGCTGCGTCCTGGACCCCCCAAGGGTCAGACGAGATGAGCGAATGAACGAATCTCAGTGGGGGGTTCTCACCTGGTTAAATAAAAAAAGGACAATCAATCAGTGAGCTAGCGAGCTCGTCAAACCAACCCACTATAAACGCCAGCCTCCCGTACAATGCAACAGATGCTACAAAGGGGGGGGGGGGGGCAGGAGGAGTCGGGGGGGGCACAGTTGGGGTGTCGTCTCTCGAACCCGCACCGCCGCCGTATCGCATCGTGCACATTATGCGAGTATCAGCGGTTCGAGCGCCATCCATTACGCGGCGACTGCGGTAACTCTTCCACATGGGGCAATAATAATAAAAACGGGCCTCGGTTAAGAAAGCGTTGAGGGTGAGACATTACTGATTAAACGGCCAGGGGGTTCGTGTCGAGCGTGGCGCAAGAACACGGCCGCCTGATTTGCCGTGCGGAACAGCAGACCAAGCCAAGTGAAACAAACAACCAGCCCGTTCTGGACCACTCCCCCCCCCCCATCTCTCTCGATCTCTCGAGTGTGTGGAAGGCACCACCGCCAGCAGTGGCGTGAGAAGCAATTGCAGGGGACTGCGCTTTTTCCCTGTTAGCCGAGGAGCGTGACGCATGCTTGCACGTTTTAATGCGGGCAGACAAAAGTTAAACTAAACCAAACTAAACCAAAGTTCTTTTTTATTGTTAGCAGGGAAGACACCTCCGAGTCATACAGAAGCGACCCGCCTATCGCAAATGATAGCTTAACAAAGTGGCTTATCATCGTGTGAACATTTACAGCAGCCAAATCTTCTAAACTCGTCTTCTAAATGTGGAGGGGAAACCCAGTGGACCCGGAGAATGATCCAAGCGACCATGGGGAGACAGAGAGACGCGTAAACTCCAAATATACAGCAGCAGGCGTCAGGGTCGGGATCTAACCCACGACCTCCTGCATACCTGGCGAGATCGTTAACATATCCTAGCCTCCGCAGCGGTGGGAGTAATAGTGGCGATTTGGCGATATGACGATTTATCGCACGACATATCGCACGATATTCGGTCCACAGGGATGCTGCTGCCGTTGTGTATAATGGTGAAATGGTGTGATGGTGTGATGGTGTAATGGTGTAATGGTGTGATGGTGTAATGGTGTGATGTGTAATGGTGTGATGGTGTAATGGTGTAATGGTGTGATGGTGTAATGGTGTGATGGTGTGATGGTGTAATGGTGTGATGGTGTGATGGGTCCCCAGTGGGATCCCCAGTGGGGTCCCCAGTGGGTCCCCAGTGGGGTCCCAAGTAGGGTCCCCTTTGGCAGACAGAAGAGTCGGGGCACGTGACCAAAACGCAGCGCTGCGGAGGAAGCAGCGAGGGTTTGTGGATCACCGCACAGATGTTGTTGTTGTTGTGAAACTCCCTTCCCGTGTGCGTCCATGGAGGTTCCGCAACCCTGGCTCTCCCCAAAGACGGCGATACGGCAAGTGGACTCATCGCCAACCTTTTCCATCTGTACGGAGTGGATACAGCGTTGCCCCCTCGCGCAAGGCGTTGGGATTCCTCTGCGTGCTCGGGCGTCCTCCTCACTTGATGAAGAATAATAATAAACACGGGGGCAGGACCCTCCAGAAAAAGTCCCACGACTTAGAATGGCTCTCGTGATCAAATAAATTCGTTTTATAAG